CAAACCCAGGAATTTCAGTCTGACAACTTTCACTTCCTGAGTAAAAATGGGAATATTCTGCCCATTTTCTACCACTGCCAATAAATATTTCTACTTAAATCAAAACCAAAAGCAAGCCTTAACTCTATAAACATACAAAGCCAAACTTTTTTAAACATTTCAGCAACTGTGCTTTGACATAAAAGGCTGAAGCTCTGACATTACGCTGCCTACCCTGTACACAGTGAGGGGTAAATGCACACAAGATCTGGACTCCACACACAGTGGTTAATTCTGCTTCAGTCTGTAAAAACACACCTTGCCAGCTGGAACCACGATGGATTTCCACACCCAGATGGAATAAAGCCTTGCAGGAGGAAAGCTAAAGAGTTACCAAAACACGAGAATAACAGCAGCCTCCGAGACAGAGCTGCTGGCAAACAAACCCAGACAGCTCCAGCAGAAAGGGGAATTCATGGGCACAGGTGTGTGTGTGACCTCCTTTCCTCAGGGCTTCATTCTGCCACAATTCTCTGGTGCCAGATCAAAACAACACTACACAAAGCCCTCTGTTTGGATCTGTTTCAGAAGTCATCACCAGGTAAGGAGAAAAGCCCTCTAATGTTTGTTTTTTTTTTTTTTTTTTGCTTTTTGGGCATTTTTTTTTTTTAACAAGAAGTTGTTAAATAAGTGCACAAAGTTCACAGTGTGCACCGGAAAACAAAAGTTCTGCTCCAGGTTGCAGATTCCCACAGCTGGGGCTTTTGTGTTCAGACACTACTCACGCTCCCAGTTATAAATAATCTTCTCTTTCACTCCTGAAGACATCAGCCTAAAAACTCTATAATCCACTAAGCTAGAAAATAACAAGTGTGAATATCTGAATATTCTAATTTCCACACAACTATCCCAGGTCTCTTGAGGATCTACTCCTATATTTCTGAGCACAGAACAGAAGTGAACTCAGGATTTGCCAATTACTTGGGACTGCTGTGCAACAAGAGCTGTCAAACCATGGAGCAGCTCAGCCTCACACTCCAACAGCCATGGAAACCTGAGTGCTTTTTGGGACAGTGAGATTTTGCAGGTTGGGCACATGCCAACAGCAGCAGCTTATCACAGTTCCACAGTCTTGAGAGAGACTCAGAAAGAAACTGCACATCACCCAGCACTAAAACATTCTTTGAAAGGAAGATCCAAAAAGAGGATTGGGCTAACCCATGGGACAACCCAGACTTTCTAGATGGAACACAACACCAGGAGCGAATAATTCAACTCTTACCTTTACCAGCGACTTTATCTGCGGACCTGAAAAAAAGCACAAAAGCAAGTGTAAGAGCCAGACTCGATGGGATGGGCAGCAACACGGAACTCAATGGCGTGGAGATGAGCCCCAATTCCCCAAAGTCGCGGTGCCTCTCTATCAGATCATTGTTTTCAACCCCTCATGCCGAGGTGGATTGTTTGAGCCGCAGGAAGCTGAGGGGAACTACAGGAATATCCAGCAGCAAAGGCCCAGCCATGCCCAGGTCAGTTATGACTGATCCAGGGGGGATCTGTGCTTAGCACAGGGGAGAGCAGCTGCACTTCCGAAGGCTCCGCTGTCCCGCTCAGGACCGAAGGTGCAGCGAACGCAGCCTCTCCTCCCGGGAAGGTGGATCCCACCGCCTCCCTCACCCGGACCTTT